AAATTTCTTTTGAGAGCCAAGTTTTTTAAACTTAAACTATGTAGGTAGGTACATTGTTATTAACTTAATTAGGGTACTCCTAAGCTGGCCTTTGCTAAAAACATCCTCAATCTGACTGAGATACGTTCACTGAGGTCGACCCCTTTCAACTCTTCCATCCACACTCATCTTGTATGCTTGTTTCGTCTATCTCCTTTCCAAAAACCGACTTCTGCGCATGGGCCAGGAAGTTTCAATCGCGCTGTAAATGGGAATCATCCAAGGCCACAGTGACCTTGAACCCTACTTCTTTTTCTCTTTTATTGCATGTCTTGTAGTTTTGTTGGGATTTTTTACTCTAGGTCCGTGGTCGGCAAACTGTGGCTCGCGAGTCACATGCGGCTCTTTGTCCCCTTGAGTGTGGCTCTTCCACAAAATACCATGTGCGGGCGCGCACACAGTGTGATTGAAACTTCGTGGCCCGTGCGCAGAAGTTGGTTTTCAGCCTGGGCGAGTCTATTTTGAAGAAGTACTGTTGATATTTGGCTCTGTTGACTAATGAGTTTGCTGACCACTGCTCTAGGTGATAACCCTAAAATAATTACACATTATTACCTAGGAAGCTTGCTTAAAATACAGGAGTTTGAGCCTTTTCCCTAGGTGATTTGGGTCAGGTGTTCCAGGAACCCAATAGTGGCCTGTGTCCAGTTTCTCGGGATTGCTGACCAGAAATGAGAATGACTGTACCAGATGACTCAAGGTGCCTTCTACGCTGGTTTCTATGAGCCGTGACCCCCCCACCCCAAACTCTGAACCCCAGCTCAGCCCAGCACATCACAATCTCCCAAAGTCCATAGTTTACGTTATGTTTCACTCGCGGTGTTGTACATTCAATGGGTTTGGACAAATGTGTAACGACATGTATCTGCCACTAGAATATCATAGAGAGTAGTTTCACTGCCCTATAAATCCTCTGCTTATTCACCCCTCCCTCATTCCTCACTCCTCCTCCCTGCAACCACCAATCTTTTCACTGTCTCATAGCTTTGCCTTTTCCAGAATGTCACATAGTTAGACTCATATAGTATGAAGCCTTTTTACATTGGCTTCTTTTACTTAGTAATATGCAGTTAAAAATATATATATATTTTTATTGATTTCAGAGAGGAAGGAAGAGGGGGAGATAGAAACATCAATGATGAGAGAGAATCATTGATTGGCTGTCTCCTGCATGACCCCACTGGGGAAGGAGCCCACAACTGAGGCGTGTGCCCTGACGGGGAATCGAACTGTGACCTTCTGGCTCATAGATTGAAGCTCAACCACTGAGCCACTGCAGCTGGGCAGTAATATGCATTTAAGGTTCCTCTCCGTCAGTTCATGACTCGATGGCTCATTTCTTTTTAGTGCTGAATAAAATGCCGTTGCCTGCGTGGACCACAGTTCATTTATCCATCCACTTATTGAACGGCATCTTGGCTGCTTCGAGTTTTGACAATTATGAAAAAAGCTGCCACAAACATCTGTGTGCAGGCTTTTTGTGTAGACATTTTCAACTTCTTTGGGCAATACCAATTACTGGGCCGTGTGGTAACATTATCTGGAAGTTTCCATAACATTATGATATCCGGATCTATAGGTACTGTTGTCAGTGGCTCCCATTAGTAGCCACCCCTCCAGGCAGAGGATCAGGTGGATAGGCAGGCGATTACAGGACCAAAGAGACAAATGTTGACTTTGCCTGCCAGCCATGGATAGGAACCAAAGAGTATCACTTTGTTCCCTCTTCTGGGACAAAAGGGGAGGCCTTGTTCGTTTGGTTGCAAGGCCTTCCCCTTCCTTCTCTCCTTGTCATCCTTTCAATTTCAGCTCAATTGGCAGCTTCTCCAGGAAGCCTTCCTTGTTTTCTCCTTACCTTCAGGCTGGGGCTGACCCTCTCCTGAGTATTTTTCTCAGCACTGTGTTTAAGTTTGTGTGTGTGTGTGTGTGTGTGTGTGTGTGTGTGTGTGTGTGTGTGTCTGTCTGTCTGTCTGTCTGTCTTCCTATAGGAAGCTGTGGGCATCTGAGACAGGTGCAGGTCCTGGGTCCTCTCTCCCAACCCCGTCCACAGGTGTGGCACATCATAGGAACTCAATTCCTGCTGCACTGGGTAGGACAGGTACTGCTTCAGTCACTCCTAAACTGTCCAGGGCGCAGCCTGACTTAGCTAGATATTTAACCACCTTTCTACTTTTTAAAAATGCATTTTTTCCTTGCTTAAACATTAACAGAGAAATGCATCACCCCCACAAACAAACTTTTGTCAAATTTCAGTATTCCTTTTCAATGTTCTCCTCCAGTTTCAGTTGTTTGCATTATTGTGATTCACCCAGGTATAAAACACAGTATTTCCAAATTTTTTAAAAAGTGTTCAGAAATAGACTGTTGAGCCCTAGCCAGTTTGGCTCAGTGGGTAGAGTGTTGGCTGGTGGCCAGGTTTGATTCTGACCAAGGGCACATACCTCTGTTGCAAGCTTGATCCCCAGACCTGGTCAGAGCCATTCTCGGGGCCCACTCAGGAGGCAACCAATCGATATATCTCTCTCACATAGATGTTTCTCTCTGTCTCTCCCCCTCTCTTCCACTTGCTCTAAAAAAAAAAAAAATCAGTGGAAAAATATCCTCAGGTGAGGAATAACAAACAAAGGAACAAAAAATAGACAATTGAGTTGATGTAACAACTGACTTCTCTAACATGGGCCTGTGGCATTTGCAGTATGATGACACTTATTCTGTCCTCATTCAAGCAGGAAATATTTAAAATGAGTGATGATTTCCTTGCAAATATTTAGTGAAATGTATACACACTCTCAACATAGTATAAGTAGAAAGATCCGGTTTGGTAAATAATTCTGTGATGAGTTCCTGAGGTCATAAAGTGTTCCAAGGCATCGAGTTCACAAATCCGATCCTGAGATTGTCCTGAAGGATTGTGCAAACATTGGGGAGATCCAGCATTTATGTAACTGAATGAAGCCTTCCAAAGAGCCGGCACTAGAGTCTGGTGCTCTGCTTCCTAGGTGACTTGGGGTCCACACAGGTTTTTCTTCTTTCTTCCCATGTATTCCCTATGGCAGATTCCCCTCAACCCCTCAGGGTCCTCCTCTTCCCCGAAGCCTCCTTCATGAGGTGCCACCACCTCCAAGAAGCCCTCCACACTCTTGGAGGTTGGGTTGAGTGGGTGAGGAGCTATTCTGGGCAGTGCCAGGCTCACAACGGGGGATGCCTCCTCGCTTCTTCACCTTGTCCCCTTTCCCCTTCATGGGCCCCATCCGTCCCTGGTGGGGCTGAGTGGCCTTGACCGCACCTACTCTACATCCTGGCTTTACTAATCTAGGAGCCTTGCATTGGGTCCATCTGTCTCAAATGTCAAGTATCTGGCCCTAGTCAACAGAAAATAATGACTGGTCTTCTATACACCCTCAATCCCGGGATGCTAGCATTTTCCTGTTCACCCACCCACTCAGCTGTTCTGAAAATGGGGTTACCGTCCAGAAAAGCTTCACCCATCCATTCACCCCACATGGGTGGTGCCTGTACTGCATCTGGTTCTTCTCTGGGCTCTGGGGCTGCTGAGCGCAGGAAGATCCCTGCCCTCAAGGAGCTCACAGGCTCATGGGGCAGACAGATGAATTGAGTAAGAAGGTGAGAACCATGGCAATGAGAACTAACACGTCCTGAACACCCTCTCTGAACTGGACAGTAATGACCAGGGAACTTGGTTAGACCTGTAAGTTGGGAAGCACAGTGTCTTTTTTTAGGGAGCATTGAGGAGAGGCCCCCACTTACCTGAGCAGAGTCTTGCAGCTGAGGAGAATTTAGGCAGCTGGAGCTGGGGAAGGAAAGGTGACAGGTGGATGGAACAGCGTGGACAAAAGCTTGCCACTGACTCAGATTGGTTGCTGCCCAGTCAAATGTGGATAAGAAGGGTGTTTTGGTATAAGGGTGTGGTGAGGAATTCATGAGGTCCCCTCTGTGGTGGTCTTAGCATCTGCAGTGATACTGTCTCAACCACGGCCAGGCGCAGCCTGGAGACAGCTGAGTTCTGGGGCATGAATGGAGGAGCCTTGGGTGGAGAGAGGAGCTGGTCTTCATGGGACAATGGAAACCACTGGAGCCCTGGCCTCACCAGGCAGGCAGGGCTTTTGTGCAGCTTGCCAAGTGGGCACACAGGCTCTCGGGGGTGGCGATAGGAGAGATGGGTGAGTTCTGGGGGCTGGAGACCTTGGGTGCTCTCAGGCACTGCTTGAAGAGATCTCCGCTCCAGTGGAGCCCTCGCCCTTCCAAAGACATGGGTGGGCAGGCCGGCACGTGGCCCAGGCCTCTGAGCTCCTGCATCCAGTCAGATCAAGTATCGCCTGATTCCCCACACATCCTCTCAGGATCCCTGACCGGGAATGAAGAAAAGCACCAGGTGGGATTGTCACCAGAATGTGACTGTCCCATTTCCACTGCCTTCCTAGTCCAGAGCAAGTGCTCACTATATACCCGCTGAATGTGAATAGATGAAGCAAGCGTTCTACCACTGCCACAGACTGGCTGTGTGACTTTAGGTCAGTTTCTTGCTCTCTGTGCCTCAGTATCCCTATTTGTAAAACCAGCAGTTGGGCTGGATAGTCACAGATATCCCTTCCAGTTCTTTTTTTACAAATATATTTTTATTGATTTCAGAGAGGAAGGGGGAGATAGTGAGAGAGGGAGACTGAAACATCAATGATGAGAGAGAATCACTGATCGGCTGTCTCCTGTACGCACCCCACCGGAGATCGAGCCCACCACACGGGCATGTGCCCTTGACCAGAAGCAAACCTGGGACCCTTCAGTCCCCAGGCCGACAATCTAACCACTGAGCCAAGCCAGCTAGGGCCCTTCCAGTTCTTGACCCAGATCTCTGCTGCCCTAGTAGCACCTCCCTCCCCAAATCCCAAATGGAAGGAATGTAACAAGTCACATGGGAGGATGCAGAAGTGGCCTTTATTGCTGGGGGGAGGGGGCGGGTGATAAGCATAGACTGCTGTCTCAACTGTGAAGGCAAGGAGTGGCTGAGAGGGTTTCTTCTGGTCTCAGGCGTTCAGTCCAGTTGGATGGTGGCAGCATCTTCCCAGGGGAAGATCCTGCAAGGAAACATGGTCAAGCAACTGGAAATTCATCTGGAATGAGGCCACAAGGAGTTAGGCCATTGATAGCAAAAGGACCCTTGCTGGCACCTGCTATTCACCACACACTACTGCCCAAGCTCTTTCCCACAATACCTTGCAGGGCCTAAGGCCTTGGAGAGGGGGACTGGCACCTGTGCTTTGGGGTCTTTCTCTGGCCTCCTTATCCCTTCACTCTGCCCTCCTCTCACCTTAGGAACAGTGGCAGATGTAAAGAGACTGACCAGAGCCCAGGACTAGAGTCAGGGTTCAGGGCTTTGTAAATAATCAAGATCATGGATCAGTCTGAGGTCAGGGTCAGGGCTCAATCTGTGACTAATTTTAGGGCTTAATAACTGGGGCCAAAGCTCAGCCTGTGACTAGGATCCAGGCTCAGTCGAGGTACGTGAGTAAGGACTGGGATTTAGAGTATGACCAGCATCATGGCGCAGCTTGGGACTAGGGTCAAGGCTCAGTCTAAGACCAAGATCAGCAAGATTAGGACTCAGGCTGCTGCAAGAGAAACAAGGGAACCCAATCCTTGCTTTGGCTTCACCATTGTCCCCTAAGGAGGAGCCTCATCCTCCCTTAGCATGGGCCACAGAGCCTGACCCCTCACCAGTTGGGGGCATCACAGCAGTCTTCCTCATCTGCCCTCTTCACGCATTGACTGGCACGTCGGCTACCTGCTGACCGTTTTCTGGAGGAACAAAATCAATAGGAAGCTTCATTCTCCACCAAATAGACAACAGACCCCAATGGCTATCACTCCTCAGTGGGTCAGCCTGACAGCAATGGGACCTCAGGCATGCCACTCCACCTCTCTGAGCCTCAGTTTGTTCATCAGTAAAATGGGTACAATGATGGTACCACTCCCACAGGGCTGTTGTGAGGATCCAATGAGATGGTGCATGCAGAGCACAGAGGGATTGCCCAAAGAACTGGACCTGTGGCTATTTCATGGAAAGGCCACCTCCAGGACCCGGACACATTCACTTGATCCATTTCTACTGCTCCAGTCTCCCCAGCAACCCCAGGCATGCCTGGAGATCCAAAAGCTAAAGAATGCCCCCGGTGGTTGGTGGAGAAACCCCCGCTCCTCATAAGAAGGAAAAGAGAAGGGAACGTGTTGATTAGCAGTGTCTGCTGAACATTAGGCTCTTCGTGCTTTTCCATTTAATCCACTCACCAACCCCACAATGTTTACAATGGTGTTTTCCCAGGAGAAACGGAGGCTGAGAGAGGCAGAGCCCCTTGACCAAAACCCCAGAGTTGCTAAGTAGCAGAGCCAGGATTTGAACTCAGATCTGGCCCATGCTCTTCCTCACAGCATTCTGCCAGGCAGCATCTGTGGGGTTTCCAAGGGATGATAGTAGAGAGACCCCAGAGGCCCACAGAGCCCCTTCCATTCTGCAAGGATTCCTCCAGCCACAATCTCCCTACTGACTTAGGAGTGGGTCCTGCTGCTTCTCCAGGGGCCCCTGAACAGACCTGCCTGTGGGGCGGGCTCAGAGCTGCATGCCTGCCCTGGGAAGGCTGCACAGGGAATGCCTCTGCTTTCCCAGGGTGTGACTTACTGATGATATTTTCAGCAAACTGCGGACCCAGGGTGGAGACAACGGTTCGCAGCAGTGGGCACATCTGAGGGGGAGAGAGGGAGGGAGAAGAGGTGGGGAAGGAGAAAAAAGGATGGATTCATTATCAGCTGGGCACACTCTGCAGGCCACCCATGGACAGCTGGTCAGATGGGATCCTAGAACCTTGGGAATCTCGGGCACCGGAAAGCGAGAAGTCCAACATCAGAGCACCTTCGGATGCTAGATCCCACCAGCTGCCACCTTCAATCCCAGAGCCTTAAGAATCTAGAGTGTTCACACCCCAGACTCCTACATTCTTAGAAACCTTGAAGTTTGGAACCCTGGAATTTTAGAGTGCAATGGGGCCCTTGGGACCCTACAGCCGTGTCTCTCGTGATTTTGTGTGCCGTGCCGTGGGGATCTGTATAAATGAAAATTCCGATTCTGCAGGCCTGGGTGGGGCCTGAGAATCTGCACTTCCAGCGAGGCCTGTGCTGCAGCTGGAGGAGGAGCAGTGAGTGGCGGGGCTCCAGCCCCGGGATGTGCCCTTCGTCGACCACGATTCCTAGGCCCTTTCTAGAATGACTGATTCAGAGTCTCTGGAACTTTGGGCACGTGCTACATACAGTTTTGTCTGATGCACAGGAATCCTGCACATGGTACATATGGTTTTGAATGATGTGCAAATAAAATACCTATTTTATTATAGGTCCGTGTTTATTTTTTTAATTAATTATAAATGATATTAATTTCTATGAATGGCAGGGATATGAAGTTTTCTTTTAAAAATAAGTGCATTTAAGTAAATTTAAATAAGTAAAGTTGTGTCAATTAAAGGAACACATTAGCTACAAACACATTATTCGAACATGGATATGACAAATAGTCAAGTTTGGGACCCAGTGATTTCAGCTGAAGTCACGCCTCTGCTCCCCCTCCCATACCCCCAAGCCCAGTAAAGCGGGGCAGGTTCCACCTGGCAGCCCAAGGAGAAGCTTGCACCTCAGAAGGAGGGGGGCCCAGAGAGCACAGCCAGGCCTGTAAATGTGCACTGCCCCCCACCAGGCCTGGCTCTGGGCCCCCAGGAGTGGAGAACTCACGTGGCTCTGCACCAGGAAGGACACAGTGTCGCTCAGGAAGCTGCTCACGGTGCCTGTGAGCTTGTTGACCACTGCACTGTGTCTGAAAGAGAGAGAAGTAATAAATCACGCTCGAGTGGGCAGACCTGCCAAGCAGCGGGCAGCGGGGAGAGGGTGTGAGATGGCAGAGCACCTTGAAGGCAAGGAAACAAACCCCAGGGACACTAAGGTGCCTTTCTAAGCGCAGACAGAGCCTCCCTCTATCCAGGGGAATCCTCACTTATAATCCCAATAGAGGCCAGGTGCACGAATTGGTGCATGGTGGGGTCCCTCTGGGTGGCCTGCAGGGTTTGGGCTGAAACCCACAGTTCAATGCTGCTGGCAGCTCCTACCTGCCACTCCCGCTCATCCTCTCCCCTCTGTGCCTGCCAACAGGCTCACACCAAATCAGTCCCTATGGGGAGAGGCTCCTGCAGCCGCAGCAATGCTTGCTAGCCATGATTTCTATGTCTTGGTGCCTTCCCAAGGGGAGTGGCCTGCAGAATCTGGCTGAAACCGGCTCTCCGACATTCCCTGAGGGGTCCCGGATTGCAAGAGGGCACAGGCCAGGCCGAGGGACCCCACCCGTGCACGATCGGGCCCAGGGAGGGATGTGGGAGGTGGCTAGCTGGGGAGGGGCCGCAGGAAGGCTCTAGAGCGTGTATGGCTTGTCTCACTTAACCCTGATCAGCCAGACCCCAGCAGCAAGCTAACCTACTGGTCAAGCTCCTGCCCCCTGGTGGTCAGTGCACGTCATAGCGAGTGGTTGAGTAGCCTTAGCATATCATTAGCATATTATGCTTTGATTGGTTGTTTCGTTGTTCTGGCATTTGGTGAATTTGCATATTACCCTTTTTTATATAGGATTTCTGACCAGCAACTCACCCCAATGCCTCATGAGAATCTCATCACAACCTCCTTAATTCAACAAATATTATAGCACAGCAACAATGTCCAAGGACCAAGCTAGGCTGGGACATAGGATGAGCAAAGCACAAACAGCTCTTAACCTGGTACCCAAATATTAAACAAGTCTTCCTAAGGCTGGCTCCTTCCCACTTTCCCACCTCCTCAGGGCAGCCCCCTCTGACCACTCCCCTAAGGGAGGGCTTTGTATTATGGTTCCCTGATAAGTGTGCCTCTCTGCCCAGGGCTCATGCCATCTGACATCTTCCCTGAGAGCTCTTTATGAAGGGGCTGAATGCTCGCCTATCTGCCTTTCCCTCTGGACGAAAAGCACCACCACAGCAGGGTCCTTGTCTGTTCTCATCAATAAGTTCTCCAGAGGTCGGAACACTGACTGTCTGGCACCTAGTAGGTGCTCAATACATTTGTAGCTGAAAGAATGAATGAAGTAAACAATCAATTAAACGCATGAGGACAACTTGTGATAAGTACTCTGAAGGGTGGGAGTAGGCACTTTGGAGAGGAGCAAACCTGTTTTAGACCCTGAAGGATGAGAGTCTATTGAGGTGAGATTGCAGGGGCAGGGGCGGGGAAGGGGAGGAGGTAGCGAGGACAGCCCTGCACAGGTCTGGAGGTGGGAAAGAGGCACAGAGCAAAGTCCACTGTTTTCCAGGAGAGAACAAGGAGAGAGTGAAGTGAGATGAGGATGGGGCAGGTCAGGCAGAGCCTAGAGGGCCATGGGGAGGGGCAGGGATTCCATCCAAAGCAGAAAGAAAAGCCCTGAGAGGGTTTGGAGCAGCAGAGTGGGAAGCCATTCTATAGATTTGAACACTGAGACCCAGAGGCAGGAGGAATTCCCTGGGGCTACAGGCAAAGCAGTGTCCAGCAGGGCTCAGAGCTCTGAATTGCATCCCAGCTTTTCCAACTAACATAGGCCCTTGGAGCCTTTGATTGGCTTTAGGGGTCATTAGGCAGCCTGTGCTCAGAGCCCCTGGTGGAGGTAGGGAGGACTGACCCACTTCCCTGCCAAAGCCCACCTGCTTCAGTCCTCAACTTCCAGAGCGTTTCTCCTGTCCCAGCCACAGCCAGGGCCACCCATTCTCCCTCAACCTCTACCAGGGACCAAACCTGCTCTTTCAGTCACACACTTGAAGATGTAGATTTTGTGGATTAACAGGGATCAGTGATTTAAATGGATAGGATTAAGTTCTCAAGATCTCATTTCTGGAATTTTCCAGGGGGTGGAGAACAATTTGGAGACAATCTGAAATTAGAGCCCATGGTGGGCATTTCCTCCTCTTCCTCCTCCCAACCCGAGGCAAGAAGGTAAATACAACTGGTGCTGATGATGATGACGATGATTGAGATAACAATGAAGGGGTAATTCTTCAAGGAGACATAGCAATCCTAAATAGGCATGCCCCTAACAACCGAGCTTCAAAAAGCAAGAAGCAAACTCTGCTAGAGCTGAAAGGTGAAGTAAGCAAATTCATGATTCTCCTTGGAGAGGTCAACACACCTGCCTCAGTCATCATGGGGGTAACAAGGAGACACAAAATCAGCTTAGATGTTATTCTTACCGAGAGCTTAGTGTGTGCCAGGCTCTATGCTAAGCACTTGCTTTTTATCATTTGGTCACCTCAGCAGCCTATATGACGGTATTATTGTCATCTTCAGTTTACATATATGAAAACCGAGGCTCTGAGAGGTTAAGTTGATGGCAAAGTTACAAGATAGTGACAGAGCTGGTATTTGAACCGAGGCCTGTCTGACTGCAGAGCCTAAACCCTTTTCACCACATTGTGCCATCTCCCAGGGATAGAAAGAGGGCTGAAATGAGGGTCCTTCGCTCCTCTGAGAGCCCAGCTCTCTTGAGATGGATGGGACTTACTCGCCCAACAAGGTGAATGAGATGCTGTCTGGGTCGCTGGCGCATTCTGTCATGACCACTCTGGAGCCACCACTCTTGGGATCAGTTTCAATTTGGACAGTAGCCAGGAGGTCCAAGGAAACTTTCAGGTTGACTGTCTTCCTAACCAGAGGCCTGCAGACAATAAGATTCACAGTGAGAAGAGGTCTAGAAGACCCTTCACACATCGCCCACTTGGTTCCTCCACCTGTGTGGACATTATTCAGGACATCTATGGAGAATGCCATCATTGTCCACATTCTTTATGGGATGTAACATATTCGCGTTAGGGCTTCTCCTCCTGGTCTCCAAGGTTTGGGTCCTGTGAAAATTTTATGTAGCAGCACACTAATAATTAAAACAATAATAATAATAATAATAATAATAATAATAATAATAGGTAACATTTATTGAGCACAAATTATGTTAGGCACTTTTAGAAGGTATTTTACCCGGATTAATCAGTCTAATTATTACAGCAATACCATAAGGGAAACTACTATTATTATTGCTATTTCAGAATGAGGAAGCATTGATATAGAGAGGTTAAGTAACTATCCTAAGATCTCATAGCGAATGCATGATGAATTGACAGTGTACGCAATTTATAAAGATTTACCCACATCTATTTCTTTTACAGTAATTAATATACTTTAAAATTACATTCTTCTACCATGTGCTTTCATGTATTTGTAGACTGTAATGAAAAAAATAAACAAACAAAATAGAAACAGATTCATAGAACAGACTGGCTGTCAGAGGGGAGGGGGCTGGAGGGTTGGGTAAAATAGGTGAAGGGATTAAACAAAAAAAAAACCCACCCAAAACACATGGACACAGATGACAGTATGGTGATTACCAGAGGGAAAGGGGGTCGGGGAGGCAGAAGAGAGTAAAGGGGGGATAAATGGTGATGGAAGGAAACTAGACCTTGAATGGTGAGCATACGATGCAATGTGCAGATGATGTATTGTAGAACTGTATACTTGAAACCTATATAATTTTATTGGCCAATGTAACCCCAATAAGTTCAATAAAAAATAAATTAAAAAATAAAATTTTATTTTGCACATATGCCCTTTATTATAAGCTATACACTATTATATGCATTTATCTGTAATGGCCACTGCTATTTAAAGAGAATCTTGAGAGACAAAATAATGCTAGAGAAAATTTTGCCAAAGAGTTGTTAATGTTTGACCTATTTATTTTTGTAAATTTTACTCTTAGATTAATGTTATAATTCCAGAAATATATTTAATGGAGGATTCTTTTAAGAGAGACTTGGTTATGGCCAAAGTTTATTAGAACTTTTTAAAGGTTAGGATTTTAGAGTTGGAAAAGCTCCCTTATTTACAGATGGGGAGACTGAGGCCCAAGGCCACTCAGCGTGTGGAAAAGTGCCCTGTTCTAGCTTGGAGGACCATTGGCTGTGCTGCATTGCCCCTCCCAAATCCCAGGTTCTAATGCATACTCACAGGGTCAAGGAGACATCAGCAGAGGTGGGGAACCTCAGGAGAAAGCCTGGGCCATCAGTAGTTGGTTCGGCTTTGAAATTCAAGATGCAGACATTACTGATTTTCAACCTGTGCAACAACCAGAATTCACCCTTGTCATTCCTCCTGACAGCCATTTGCTGAGCCCTTCTCTATGCAGCGTCATGCTGAGCTTTTGGGCCTCATCAGTCTTGCCTACTTTGGTCTTTCCCATAGCCCTCCTCAGAGGTTTGATTGTCTCCATTCTATGGCGGGGCACACTGAGGACCAGGCAGCTGTGATTCCCCCAGCCCCAGATACCAAGGAAGAGCAATCGCCTGAGGCAGAATTAGAACTCACAACTATTTGACTCCAAAACTCTATGTGTGGAGCCAGCGGGTGCGGATTTCAGTGTCCTCTCTCCTGAGGGGATTTGAAAGTTTATTCTCAGCTGTATTCAGAGAGGAAAGTTTCATTCCCTGGAAAAGGGAATCCAGGCACCAGCAAACAGGTGGAGGTGTGACTGAAGAGAGCCTTCCCCCTGACCCTGAAATTACAGGATGTGGAAGCTGAAACTCATGTGATGCTCAGATTGGTTGTGTGGCCCTGCCTCTAATTGACTCAGGCTCTGGTGGGTCTGGCCTCAGACCACGTGGGCTCTGTGGGAAGAACAAGTTTTGTGGCCTTTCTGCCTTTAACCTTAAATTTACACCCCTCCCCAAAAGACATGTATTGCCCCATCCCTATTATTGTGAGGAAAGATCTCCATCATGAAGCACCAACTCACCCCAAAGACTGGCCCCCTTTAAATAATTTAGAAAGGGCGCGATTCAACAAATCTTTAGTTTGGTGGAACTTGTCCGCGATGGTTTGCCAAGCATTGGTTTCCTGAATCTTGATGATGTCCCCCCTCAGTTTCTGAAGAACAGCTGACAAAAACAATTGCTATTTAGTGTTATGTACCACTTATGAAGCTGCTACTAGGCACCAGGTACTAGATAGGACTGCCTGTGTTATTTCCTTTAATCTTCATAACAACTCACTGAGGTAGATATCGACAGTATCTGGATTTTACAGATGAGGAAATAAGAATGAAAAGTTTAAGAAACATACCTGAAGACATACAGCTACAGAGCCCCTCTTCCTTCCATGCTGTCTTCATACTGATATATACTCATTTTTAATCAACAGACCAACCAATCAACTGACCAGGCAATTGATAATGATTATAAGCCTGCTTCTAGTAGTGATGGGGATGGGGGGTCTATCGCTCTAAATGAGATGTCTACATAAGTTTGAAAAAGTAGGTGAAAGAAACTGAGAGAATAAACAAATATATGGAAAATCTAGAATTAAGGAAAAAATATGACTCCAACCCATAAAAGTGACAAATTGGAGTCCCAGGATGAGAGCCTTGCAGCAGGCTCAGAGTACAATAATTCACACAGGAGCAGGAAGACAAAGTGTCTTAATAGGAGGTCCCTAGTGAAAAGAGGGATTAATAGAATAAATGACATGGCAGAGGCAGAATGTAGTATATAAGAGGAGTTAAGGATACGTGTGCAAAGTATTTCAAGTGAAAAACAGCAAGGCTATTACTAACTCAAGGAAAAACAAAAGACTGTACTGGAGAAGGTATGTAATCATAGTACTTCAACTTGGCTCTGCAATGGAGAGTATCTACCTAGTTATAATGATGCAAACAGAGAATGCCAATTTAAATAAACTATGGAGCTAAGGAGACTTAACTTGGGGTGGTGAACACGCACTACAGTGTACAGGTGGTGTGTTGTGGAATTGTGCACCTGAAACCTGTATAACCACAATAAATAAATAAAGTAAATAAATAAAACTATGTCTGGTCTTAGGTGACCTTAACTCAGACACTTCTGTTTCTGACCTTAGTTTTCTCAGCAGTGAAATTAAAGATGGGGGTCTCTTCTATATCTTTGAAAATTGCCTGACAATATTTGAAAGGCAGTCATTTACAGAAGTGACTAACTCCTATAAAAATGTTTGTCAATGTGCTGTTCATTTTCCATAAAATAAAAAGAAAGCCAAGTTCTTTTGAGAAATCAGAATTAGAAGGAGATTCAATGAACTATAAAAATAGGCAGATAGCTATCTCTGCTAGGTGGAGTTAGTACAAATCAATAAGACAAGTAAGCAACCCAACAGAGTAATATGCTCAGGACATGAACAAATTACTTAAGTTAAAATACATAAAAAGATTAAAATATGAAAAAATGAGTGGATTCTTTTATAATTAGAGAACTTTAAAGTGAAATGCCTTACAGTCTCTCATCTTATGAGACAGGCAAAACATTTAAGTTGTCCATACCAGTGGCGTCAACGGAATAGAGTGAAATATCCTTTGACCTTTTAAAATCTCACTTTTAGGAACTTATCCCATGTATAGACTAGAAACATGATAGAATATGTACAAGGATATTCATTTAAGCATTGCTTGTTTATAGAAAAATAGTAAGTGGCCTGGCCAGAGTGGTTCAGTGGTTGAGGATCGGCCTATGAACCAGGAGGTCACGGTTCCATTCCAGGTTGGGACACATGCCTGGGTTGTGGGCTCGATTCCCAGTAGGATGCGTGCAGGAGGCAGCCAATCGATGAAACTTTCTCATCATTGATGTTTCTATCTCTCTCTCCCTCTCCTTCCTCTCTAAAATCAATAAAAATTTAAATAAATAAATAATAAGCAAATGAGCCAGGAAGTGACTAACCACCTTTCCTAGTAAACCATCCACAAAAGGCAGCCCCTGGTGGCAGCCCCTGGAAATGCAGTATAACGTTTAGGAAACAGGTTCTGGGTGCCGCCTATCATCACCATTATTGACTCACATTCAATGTTATCAGTTCCTTTATTAACAGCAGGTTTCAGGCTGTTTAAAATACCACCCAGGTCTTCGCCAAGTGCGTGAATAATACCCGCTGAGGTCCCAGAGACCAGGCCACACAAGAGAACAAGTTTCCAAAGCTGAAACATCTTGTGCTGATACCTGGACATTCATAGGAGAAACAGGAGTGAGAGTTACCCAGAGGGAAATGGAGTTTTCAATGAGCACCCCCCCTCTTTCACTTAACTGTCCTGTAAGATAGAGGTGGCTCTCTCCTGGTTCACAGATGGGCAGCCCAGCTCAGAAAGCTAGAGCAACTTGCCCAGAAACACACAGCCAGTGAGTGGACAAGCTGCAATTTGAAAAGTCACACTTGATTACAAGTTCATGATCTTTACAAAAAGGTTTTTGCCATATGCTGCCTTCTTTGCCTGGAACATCTGTCCTCTTCGTTGCATTTTTGACCTATTGACTCTCTGGCTTCAGAAAGACATCGTGTCCTCTATGGAGCCTCCTGTAGGCCCCTCTCGAGAGTCTAGGTTAGGGAGCTTCACCCCACCGTTTCTTCTGCATTCGTCCTCTGATCAGAGTCCTGGGTGCCAATTACCTGATGACCTGTCTGCCTCTATCGCCAGGTTGTGAACTCTTTAGAGGAGGAATGGTGACATTTCACTGTCGAATCCTCAGCCCCCAGTAAAACCCCTGTAGTCAGGACAGTTCAACGAATAACTCTTTTCTGAATAAAAGTATGAACAAATAAATGGGCACTTTATCATGACCCTGCATTGCCCATCAGTTTGACACTTCTCTGAATATAATTTTCTATCTATCTATCTATCTATCTATCTATCTATCTATCTATCTATCTCTCTATCTATCTCTTAATTTGCTATATTCAACATATTAGCTAATGCAAGCTGTCCTAGTCCTCTGTCTCTAGCCCCCAAAGCCTCTGAAGACCACCCTGTGGGGTGTGGTCAGAGGTAAGCCCACCACTCACGGGTTTGGAGGAGGATGATCGCGAATCCTTGTTCTCCGGCACGATCTCCTGGGATTCTTCTGGGTGGTGGTGGCCCTTATATTGGTAGCTGCAGAATGGGAGGCTGGGCATGGAAGTAAGTCCTGTTTCCGGGGCCATCTGAGGAGACGCCAAAGAAAATAACCTCTGTTCGGGATGAGCAGAGAGATTTCCAACCCAAAGGCCACCCAGGATGCTGGGGTTGAAATGTGTGGCTATGGGAGGACCTGCCAAGACTAAGACCAGGCTGTCATGGCGTCTCCAGCTGCCAAGACGATGGCCTATGTGAGTGGGGTGTAAGGCGAAGACTGAGAATAGACAAATTAGAGAATTTGCTGGTGGGGAATCTATAGTGATCATCAGCCTATTTCTGTCATCATTTGGAAACTGAGGCTCAGGGAAGGGCAGTAACCAGCCTGAGGTCACCCAACCAGACAAGGACAAAAATGAGACCAGAATTGTAGTCCACAGAAGGTCAGGGTCAGCAACCAGAAAGGCCATTCTACGCAATCCTCTGGTGCCCAAGTGCTTTCATGGTGGAGCCAGCCTTGGTTCAAATGTTTGCAATGATGGGGAGCTCACTACCTCTTAAGATTGCCTGTTCCATCTAGTTAGAGTTTCTCCTGAGAGTGAACAAAATCTGCCTCCCGTTACCCCCATGTGTGGGCAACAGTGAAGCCCAGAAAGGTTAAGCACCGTGCCTGAGGTGGCACAGCCAGTGTCAGGAGACACACACACCAGCCTCATCCCTGGAGCACTTGCTCCATCCACTCTACTCTCAGTGCAGCAGCAGGTGTGTCACTCAGCTTAAACCCAAAGTCCTACCGTGCCCTACAGGAGCCTGCCTCATCTGATCACTGTCTCTCCAAATCATCTCCTACCTGTCCCTGCTGCCCCCCACCTCTCTTCCCTCTATGCCAGAAGATTCTGACCTCTTTCCTGCTTTGGGCTTTGCATAAGCCATTCTCTCTGCCCATGACTCTCCTCTCCAGCTGCTCCCAGCTCTTGATGTCACCTCTTCAGAACCTCCCGCACTGCCCACACGCGGTGGCTCCTCCCATTATCACCCCTCAGCTCCTTGATTGCTTCTTTCACAGGACATCACCACAATTTCATTTTTTAAAATATGTTTTATTGATTTTTGAGCGAGATGAAGGGAGAGGGAGATAGAAGCATCAGTGAGAGAGAAATGTCCATGGGCTGCCTCCTGCAAGCTGCCTACTACCCGGGCTTGTGCCCTGACCAGGAATCAAACCTGCGACCTCTTGCTCCATGGGACGACACTCAACCAACTGAGCCACACCACCAGGCCACAATTTGATTTTGTTAAAGAACTTGTTCATTGCCCTCAGCAAGTTGTTACCACCCTGTGCTCTGATGCTTTCCTCACATGTGGGTTTCAAAGGCTCTGACCTGTCTCTAGAATGTTCTAAACCTTTCTCTGGGGCATCCTATAAAACCAGGCCCTACCTGGGAAGGTGGCAAGATCCCATCACCTGAGATGCTCATAAACTGGATGAGGTGACTACTCGCTCTTGAGGGACGAGGTCTGACTGTAAACCGTGATCCTAAATTTCCTTGGTCTATTGTTGAAAGACCATTGCTGCATTTTTTAGTTTATTCGACCTGAGTCTAGCTGCCCCACATGGATATCTTTCCCTTGGGTTTCCCATCTCTTTCCTTTTCTCACCCTCCCCACCTCCCAAGACCCCAACTACGCCTGGCTGGCCGTGTCTCAGCTGCAGAGACTCGCGCTAGGTGCTGTTTCTCAGCATGAACCACACCTGGACCACAGCCAGCTTTCCCCATGACATTGGCCAGCTTGCACGGCCAAGCTCTGAGGTGACAGTAACTTGTCTCCTGGGTGTGGGGCTAGGGCAGTGGTTCTCAACCTTCTAATGCCACGACCCTTTAATAGATTTTCTCATGTTGTGGTGACCCCCAATTTCATTGTTACAAATTGAACAGAATTAAAGCATAGTGATTAATCACAAAAACAATATGTAATTATATATGTGTTTTCCGATGGTCTTAGGCGACTCCTGTGAAAGGGTTGTTCGACCCCCAAAGGGGTCACGACCCACAGGTTGAGAACCACTGGGCTAGGGGATGGCACAAAGGCAAGAGGGTGAGCAGAAGAGCCTGAACTCTCATATGCAGCTCACAGGTCCTGCTAAGAAGCCATATTCTCAGGGTCCCCACCCCTCTGCAGCTTCACGACCCCAGCACACATGAGGACAGGACTTTGCCACACCCTTAAGGGCCCCTGTCTGCTAAAGACTTTGGGGGCCCCCAAGTCTGACCTACACTAGGCTACATCTCCCAAAGTGGGGAGAAACCATGCCCCCTTCTTCCCAAAGTCCTCCAGACCCTACTCCCAATAGTGTGTGTACAACTCTTAAATAAGCGTGTATATGCCTACACATATGTATGTGTGCATGTCACACACATACAGCACACATGTGCATACGTGCACATGTGCATGACAGTGCAAGCTAGACTCAGATGAAGATGCATCTGTTGCCTAAAGGAGCAGAACTTTTTACAGAATCATGGAGACCAGGTTGCCACTCTTCTGAATGAAAGAGCTCACTACCAGCAAAGGTGGATTTGGGTCTCTCCAGATTGCTGGTTCTGTTTTGTTTTGTTTTTCTTTTCCCTCTTAGAGCCTTTGGACACAGTTATCTAAAGCCCACTAGAGAACAAAGCCAACACTAAGGAAATGAGAAAATATATCATTTGCGTGCCTGTATCTAGCTATGCCTGAAGTCGTATAGACCCCAGACTTTTCAGTTAAAATACATTTCTCTCCACGCCCTCTTTTTTCATTTTTGCTCAGGCCCTTATGAATTGAATTCCTGCCGCTGAAACCCACAACAGTCCTTACTCATGCATTTGAACATTCACTTGGCCTCCTCCCTCCTGGTGGCTGTCGGAGAGTCACACACGACATGCGAAAGATCACAGACAGCAAAGCCAGAGGAGCACTGAGAGCTCTTCAGTGTAACCTCCTGGCTGGGAAGTCTGGGGAGCCAGTGGACGGAGAAGGTGAAGGAATCATCCAAGGCCGCCCAGTGACCTCGAACCCCACTCCCTTTCCTCTTTTATTGCATATCTTGCAGTTTTGTTGGAATTTTTTACTGGTGGTAACCCTAAAAAAATTACACATTTACTTAGGAAGCTTGTTTAAAATACAGGAGCTTGAGCCCCATCCCTAGGTAATTTGGGTCAGGTGTTCCGGGAACCCAAGAGTGGCCTGTGTCCAGTTTCTCAGGATTGCTGACCAGAAAGGGGAATGACTGTACCAGATGACTCAAAGGTGCCTTCTACCCTGGTTTCTATGAGCCGTGACCCCCACCCCAATCTCTGAACCCCAGCTCAGCCCAGGCATGACCCTCATAACCCTGCTGCTCACGTATACAGCATCTTGCACTGCAGCCTGACGGTCCTGCAGAAGCTCGGAGCCATAAGAGCAGACTATTGACAATTGCCATTTATTTGGCACTTGCTGTGTACCAGGGTTTTTTTTTCCTTCTACATCTGGTTTCATCCCCTCACAACCTTGCAAGGGGTGTCACTGCCCCTCTTTTTCGAATGAGGAGCATAAGGCTTAGAAGAGAAGGACAACTTGCTCAAGGTCACGCAGACAGGAAAGGGCAGAGCTGGGAAGAAGACCTAAGTCTGTATCTTCTCGGACTGAGAACGGCTGTTCCAGCTCATGCCTCCTGGGGGCAACAGCGAGTCGCATCCTTCTGCTCTTGGTGCCCAGCACCTGCTAGGCAGCTACTGTGTCCCCGGCACTGGGCTTGGTGCTGTAGGTACACTTTCACCATTAGTCCTCACGACAAGCCTGTGAGGAGGTTTGGGGCCCATTTCCCAGTGGAGGAAACAGGTTCAGAGAGGGTAGGTGGCTTGCCCAGGCCTCACAAGGACAGGATCTGAGCATTTGGTTCCCCAGGGAAGGCGCTTCGGCCAAGGTCACATTGAGGCCAGCTGTCGGGGCAGAACAGACCTTGGGCTTGGATATCCTGTTTCTCCGTCAGCCTCTGCTGTTTGCGTTGGTTGTAACGCCTGGCGCATTGGCCCGTGTCAACCTGGAACCGGCCACAGGAAACTCAGCCACTTGGCAACAGATGCACTGGCAGAGAGCTCAGGGGCACCCTGTGGCTGTGCCCTCTGCTCATCCACCTGAAGCTCAGCAAGGACCAGGTGGGCCTGTTCTTCAGGCGAACGTGGCCAGGGCAAAGGATGAGATAGGTGGGGGCGCTAGCCTTCCTCACACTGACCATGGGTCCTCCATCAGAGCACAGAGCAGGGAGGAGGCGGCAGCTCATGTCCCTACGCCTGGGCTGGGACCTGGAGAGCCCAGGCCAGTAGAGTCTTGCTGGGTGGCCTTGGAACAGTCACCAATCCCTCTTCCCTGGCTGCCTGGCATCCAGTTCCGCAAATACCTGAGGCCCCTCTTCCTCCAGGCATGAGGAAGAGACCCGAGGGCTGTGCTGAAATCTGTTTTCCCACCCCAGGAACACAGTCCAGGGAGCTGAGTGTCATGTGGTGACCTTAGACTTAGTGTTGGCCCCAGGCCTCAGTTGCTCCATCTGTAAAATGGGGTAAACACCCCTGTGCCTGGATCCCGGTGCCAAAATGCAAGTCAAAAGGGTGCCGAGGCGGCTCTCAGGATGTTAGTCAGAGCCTGGCCCTGGGGTGGGTTGGAATCCTCTCTCCACCTGTTGTTGACTGTATAATCTCTCGGAGGCATGCCATCTCACCGACCCTCAGGTTCCTTACCTGTGAAATGGGACGAGCAACCCGACTTACCTACCAGGTGTGCTGTGAGGATGAGGTGGGATAATGCGTGTGGCAGGGTTAGCACCTGGTAGTGCCTTGATACGTGATAACACGACAACGGTAATGATTATAATTATTCTTGGTTTCTGGTCACTTCGCTTCTCTCCACCTCCGTTTTCCCATCCAAATGTGAAGATTAAATGAGACAGAGCCTCCCATATGCTTAGTGC